CTTGAGGACTTCCCTGGTGGTCCAGAGGTTAAGAATCGCCTTCCAATGTAGGGGACGTGGGTTCGATCCCTGGTCGGAGAATTAAAGATCCCACATGCCACACAGCAACTCAGCCTGCACGTCACAACCAGCAAGGCTGCATACCACAACGAAGAGCCCACTTGCCACAAGTTAAAACATGACCCAATCAGATAAATAAATATTTTAAAAATACCTCTTTAAAAAAACGAAAGAAAATCAACTTTACAGACAGATCAATCACCATCAACACTAACATATGAAAGAGCATCAGAATAGGTACACTAGGATCATCTACCCTTGATGGCAACAGACTACCATGAAGGAAAAAAATCTTTTTTTCCTCTTATTTGTCTTGCACTACTTCAAAAAAATCACCTTTCCTTGCTTCCTCCAAAGTCCTTCCACCTGCACAAGTCACTGTGAAGGGCAAAACTGCTGGAAGAGTTAGTAGCACAGACAGCAGGAACATGGGCACTCAACTTAACTCTCTTTGAGCCGTGCTAGGGCTCAAGAGCCCTTGCTCCTCTGTATCACTAACAGACCACAGATACTGTCCACAAGGCTTGAGCTGGAGGAACCTCACCTCTAAACTTGAAAGAATGCCGTCCAAAGTCACAATCTTCACTTCAATTCCCAGCACCAGGAGATGGTTGGTACTGACCCTAATAACCAACCCCCCCACTTAAACCATCTTGAGAGATCCAGACACATGCCTAAAATGCACAAACATTTTCATCATCAATACTAATAACAAGGCATACCTTGTCTTACTGTTGTTCACTTCATCATGCTTTGTAGACACAGTTAAAGGTTTGGGGCAACCCTGCATCCAGCAAGTCTACAGCAGCATTTTTCCAACAGCATTTGCTCACTCTGCATCTCTGTGACACATTTTGGTAATTCTAGCAATGTGTCAAATTTTTTCATTACTACTATATCTGTTACAGTGATCTGAGACCTTTGATGTGACTGCTTGCTGAAGGCTCAGGTTATGATTATCACTTTTTAGCAATATTTTTAAATTAAAGCGTGTACATTTAAAAAATGATTTTAAGTATTTCTTTTCTTTTCTTTTTTTTTTTTGCTGCACCACACAGCATGTGGTATCTTAAATCACCAAAAGACTCTTGCCCCTTGCAAGAAAAGCTATGACAAACCTAGACAGCATATTAAAAAGCAGAGACATTACTTTGCCAACAAAGGTCCGTCTAGTCAAGGCTATGGTTTTTCCAGTGGTCATGTATGGATGTGAGAGTTGGACTATAAAGAGGGCTGAGCGCAGAAGTATTGATGCTTTTGAACTGTGGTGCTGGAGAAGACTCTTGAGAGTCCCTTGAACTGCAAGGAGATCCAACCAGTCCATCCAAGGGAAATCGGTCCTGGGTGTTCATTGAAAGGATTGATGTCGAAGCTGAAACTCCAATACTTTGGCTGTCTGATGCGAACAGCCGACTCATTTGAAAAGACCCTGATGTTGGGAAAGATTGAGGGCAGGAGGGGAAGGGGACGACAGAGGATGAGATGGTTGGATGCCATCACTGGCTCAGTGGAAATGAGTTTGGGTAAACTCTAGGAGTTGGTGATGGACAGGAAGGCCTGGCATGCTGCAGTTCATGGGGTTGCAAAGAGTTGGACACGACTGAGTGACTGAACTGAACTGAACTGAACCAAATTAGAGAAAAGAATAGATAAAGAAAATTTCACTAAATTTATCAAGAAACTAGAAAATATAAAAAGATCTACTCAGAAATGAGAAGTTAAATAGTTGAAGTAAAAGAAACTAGAAGGGTTGAATAGCAAAGACTAAATGATACTGAAAAATGCATAAGTGAACTGGAAGATAGACTAATGGAAATCATTCAATCAGAACAGTGAAAAGAGAAACAAGTTTTAAAAAATCTTTTAAATCATTTAAGAGATTTCTGGGATAACATTAAGCATATCAACATTCACATTGTAGGGGTCCCAGAAGGAGGAGAGAGAGAAAGAAGGGGATCAAAGATGTATTTGAGTAAATCATGGCTGAAAACTTCCCAAACCCAAAGAAGGAAACAGATATCCAGATATAGGAAGGACAGAGGGTCCCAAATGAGAAGAACCCATACAGACCCACACCAAAACCCACACTATTTTACTGTAATTAAAATGGCAAAAGTTAAATATAAAAATAGAAATTTAAAGGCAGCAAGAGACAAAGGGAATCTCCATAAGGCTATCAGCTAATTTCTCTGCAGAAACCTAGGAGGCCAGAAAGGAGTGACATGCTATATTCAAAATGCCGAAAGGGGAAATCCTGTGACCTACAATAGTCTACCCAGAAAGATTATCACTTAGAATAGAAGGAGAGGTTAAGAACTTATAAGACAAGCAAAAACTAAAAGGGTTTATCAGTACTAAGTGAAGTGAAGTTGCTCAGTCGTGTTCGACTCTTTGCGACCCCACGGACTGTAGCCTACCAGGCTTCTCTGTCCATGGGGTTTCCCAGGCAAGAATACTGGAGTGGGTTGCCATTTCCTTCTCCAGTATCAATACTAAGCCTACTCTAAAAGAAACATAAAAGGGCTTTACCTAAGTGAAAAGAAGGCAAATATATAGTGAAGACTGAGGATTTACCACTTAAATAAATCAGTGTATAGATTTAAAGACAAAAAATTATAAAAGCAACTGTAAGTACAATAAATAATTGAGGTGTAAGCACGAAGATGTAAAATGTGACATCAAATACATAAAATGTGGGAGAGGAGAGTTAAAGATGTAGATTTTTTTTAAAGAATGTGTTTGAACCTAAATGATGACCAGTTGTGGCTCAGAGGTTAAAGCCTCTGCCCACAATGCCAGAGACCTGGGATAGATCCCTGGGTCAGGAAGATCCCCTGGAGAAGGAACTGGCAACCCACTCCAGTATTCTTGCCTGGAGAATCCCCATGGACAGAGGAGCCTGGNTCCCCTGGAGAAGGAACTGGCAACCCACTCCAGTATTCTTGCCTGGAGAATCCCATGGACGGAGGAGCCTGGTGGGCTACAGTCCACAGGGTCGCAAAGAGTCAGACACGACTGAGTGACTTCACTTTCACTTTCAATCATACATAGTTATAGGTCACCATATATAAACCCCATGGCAACCACAAAGGCACACAGCAGACATAAAAAATTAAAATGAAAGGCCACAAGGACACTACTAAAGAAAACCATCAAGGACTTCCTTGGTAGTTCAGTGGCTAAAACTCCATGCTTACAATACAGAGGACTCTGGTTTGAGCCTTGGTCAGGGAACTAGATCCCGCATGTCATAACTAAGAGTTTGCATGCCTCAGCTAAAGATCTCACATGCTGCAAAAAAGATTGAAGATCCTGTGTGCCACAACTAAGATCTGGTGTGGTCAAATAAATAAATAAATATTAAAAAAATAAAAGAAACACTAATGAAACCGTGGGCTGTTCAAAAGTATATAATTAAAAAAAGAAAGAATCAAATCACAAAGGAAGAAACAATGAAAAAGAAATGAACAGAGAACTACACGACAACTGGAAAAACAAGTAATAAAATGGTAATAAGTACATAGTTATCAACATTACTTCAAATGTCAATTGACTAATGTTCCTATCAAAAAACTTAGAGTGGTTGATTAGATTAAAAATGCAACACCATTCTATATGATGCTTACAAGATACTCACTTCAGAGCTAATGACACACAGACTGAATGTGAGGGGATGGAAAGAGATATTTCATGCAAATGGAAATGAAAAAAAAGCCAGGGTAGCAATACTCATATCAGACAATATAGCCTTTAAAACAAAGCCTATAATAAAAGACAAAGAAGGACATCATATAATGATAAAAGGATCAATACAAATAAGGATATTATACTTGTTAACATATATATACCCAATACATGAGAACCAAAATACATAAAGCAAATGCCAAGGGACATAAAGGGAGAAATTGACAGTAATAAATATAACACTAAGGGACTTTAATGCCCACTTACATCAATGGACTGATCACCCAGACAGAAAATCAATAAAGAAACAGTGGCCTTAAATGACACATACAAATAACTAAAAGGCACATGAAAAGATAATCAACATCACTATTTTCGAAAAATGCAAATCAAAGTCACAGTGAGATCACCTATACCTGTCAGAATGGTTATTATCAAAAAGTCTACAAATAACATATTGGAGAGGACATAGAGAAAATGAAACACTTGTTCACTGTTGATGAGAATACAAATTGGCATTGACAGTTCAAAAAATGATATGGAGGTTCCTCAAAAAAAAACTGAATATAGAACTATCATAATACCTAGCAATTCCACTCCTGGGTATACATCTGGAAAAATCTAAAAAGTGTTCATAGCAGCACTATTTACAATAGCCAAGATATGGAAGTAACCCAAATGTCCATCAATAGAGGAACAGATAAAAAAGTATGTGGTACATATACAATGGAATATTTCAGCCATAAAAAGAATAAAATTCTGCCATTTGTAACAATGTGAATGGACCTAGAGAATATTATGCTTAGTGAAATAAGGAAAGACAAATACTGTATGAAATCACTTATAAGTGAAATCTAGAAAATAAAACAAATGTATATAGCAAAACAGAAACAGACTCACAGATCTAGAAAACAAACTAGTCGGTATCAGTGGGGAGAGGGAACGGGGGAAGGGCATAATAGGGTTATGGAATTAATAAATACAAACTACTATGTATAAAGTAGATAAGCAACAAGGATACATTTTAAAGCAAGGGAATTATACCCATTATTTTGTAATGACTTTTAATGAATCTATACAGTATGCCTGAAACTAATATTAAAAATATGCCAGAAAATAGATGAATTGCTAGCAATTAGTATAACATTTAACAAATGAAGAGATCAGTGCCACAACTAACATGGTAATTAAGAGATAATTGTAAAATATAATTATAGTAAATATTAAATATCTTAGATTTATTATTTCTCACCTACCTGTAGTGGCTTTTACTCCATCCATCACCTCTTTCAGATCAACTTTCCCATTAGCTACAAGAAAAAGCTCAATGAAGATAATGTCACAAGTTCAGAAAACAAACTCAAGACATACATTTTGTGGAAACAATTCCATTAAAAACATTTTTAACTAAGACCATTTATTGAATGCTTGGATCTCATGGAATTAATGTGACCTTCATTAATACAGAGGTCTCATATTTCAGAATCTGAGTCAGGAAAAGTATACTTTTCCTAGTGTTTTGGAAGCCATTATAAGCCATTATACATTGAAGATACCATTAGAGTTGGCCCAGTATTCTGGTAACTTTACTTCATGTACAGACATACAGTTGAGAAGAGATCTCTAACCTAGCCCAGTATGTTCTAAGATTGCTTCCTGCAGGAGGTAGTGCATTAACTATATTAATGTATTAGTCAGGGTACATCAAAAATACATACAAATAAAAAGGACTTCACATGGAGGAGAGATTGAGAGAAGATAAAAGTCCAGAGGTATGTCTTGTGTGTGAAACTACCAGTAGTTCAACATGGTCTGAAGAGGAAAAAAATAAGAGAAGGTATCAAAGAGGCAGATGAAGAGGAAAAAAATAAGAGAAGATATCAAAGAGGCAGATGGACTGAGAAGGCCTCGTGCACTACGATGAGTATCTTTGAATTTATTTTAGTTGAATTTTGGTAGACAGAGGGATGAACAAAAGAATGGGCCTGCTGATTTCTCTATATATAATTTTTCATGTCCCTATTATTTTTGCTTTCTTATAGATGTATTAGAGCTTTGACAGCACCCTCTGCAATTCTAGGTATGGAGAGGAAAAATAGATGCTGATGTTGGATGAACTGTAATATAGATCCAAGATTTATTCTGACTTTAATATTAGAATCCTTTCCAACCTTTCTAACATATCAATTAAATGTATTTTTTAAGAGTCAGATGTAAAACAGTGCTCACCATCAATTTGTAGGTCTTCTGACAACTTTGCAAGTTCCTCTTCTGTGAGCTCAATTCCAAATCTTCCTAGAGCATTGTCCAGGTTATTTATATGAACCTTCCCCCCTTATGAAAGAGACAATGTAGCAACAGGAAAAAAGTGTATTATACCAAGATTTTCCATAAGCAATATTATTATTAGTATCTTTATTGACCATGGTGATTTCAACTTAGCTAAGTTGAGACTACATTTCCAAGAATTTCCTTCCCTGTATGGATTTACTTATTAATTTATAAGTTACAGTTTTTTAAAAAAGACTTTACTTTTTTAGAGTAGTTTCAGGTTTATAACAAAACTTTGAGAAGAAGGTACAGAGATTCCCATATACCTGCTACCCTACATACATGCACAGTCTCCTCCATTACCAACATCATTCCCCAGAGTGGTACTTTTTTTTTAACTAAGGATAAACCTACACTGACACATCATAATGATCCAAACTTCACAGTTTACCTTAGGATTCCCTCTTGATGTCATATATTCCATTGGTTTTGACAAAATTATAATAACATATTATATCCATCATTATAATATTATATAGAGTATTTTAACCACCCTAAAAATCCTCTGTGTACTTCCTAGTCATCTCTCCTCCTCCCTCTCTTTCTGGCAAATATTGATCTTTCTATTGTTTCCATGGTTTTGCTTTTCTCAGAATATCATAGAGTTGGAGTCATACAGCACATTGCCTTTTCAGATTGACTTCTTTCACTTAGTCATAAGCACTGAAGATTCCCCCATGTCCTTTCACTGTGTAATAACTCATTTCCTTTTAGTGCTGAAAAATATTCCATTATCTAGATGTACCTGATGCTTGGAAAGATTAAAGGCGGGAGGAGAAGGGGACGACAGAGGATGAGGTGGTTGGATGGCATCACCGACTCAATGGACATGAATTTGAGTACACTCTGGGAGCTGGTGATGGACAGGGAGGCCTGGAGTGCTGCAGTCCATGGGGTCACAAAGAGTCGGACACAACTGAGCGACTGAACTGTAACTGTAACTGTGACCACAGTTTACTTATCCATTCATCTACTGAAGTATATTTTGGTTGCTTCTAAATCTTGGCAATATGAATAAAGTGGCTTTCATCTCTGTTGTCATCTCTGTTGGATAAATACCAAGGAATGTGATTGCTGGGTTGTATGGTAAGAGTATGTTTAGTTTTATAATAAACCACCAAACTGTCTTCCAAAGTGGCTGTACCATTTTGCATTCCTACCAGCAGTGTTTGAGAATTCCTGCTTCTCCACATCCTTGCCAGTATTTCATTTTGCCAGTACTGTATGGTTTTGAGGTAGAGGTGGCCATGGAAAAACTTGCATATTTCGGAAGCAAAAGTGAAGCAGCAGCCACTGCATTCTGAAAGGTCATCTAGAGGGCCAGGCACCACCACAGCTTGCCATTTTGTCTTTGTCAATCTACAGGTTTCTTCACCTTTGTTGGCCTGAAGCAGCTGGGCTTGCAGGTCTCCCAGTTCCTGCTAAATCTCCTCCTTTTGCTTCTCTGAGTCCTGGGTCAGCCATACGTGCAGTTTCATGGCAAAGGGTGCAAGTTTCTTTTGTAAAAACTGTTGTTGGAGTTGGAAGTGGGAAAAGATAGATAGGGACCCCAGTCTGCCTCTGTGGATTCGTTTATCCGCACTCTTATCCACTTTGTGTCCAGTTTTTCCTCCCAATTTCTGGTTCTGCTGATCTCCAGGGACTTTAGACTTTACACTACACACAGAGGCAGCAACCTTTACAGACTCTTCTAATGAATTAATTTCTCCTGAAGCCAGCCATAAAAGGCTGAAAGAAGTTATGTTTTTTCTTCAATGTGAAAACAGCAACCCAAGTCTTCAAAGAACATGAAAAATCAAAGAAACACAACACCACTAAAGGAACACAATAAATTTTCAGTAGCCAATCCTAAAGAAATGAACATCTCTGATCTACCCAATAAGATTTCAAAACAGTTGATTTAAGGAAGCTTAGTAAGCTATAAGAAAACACAGAAAGATAAGTCAATGATATCAGGAAAATAATACAAAAGCAAAACAAGAGGTTTAATAGTGATAGATATTATGAAAAAGAACCAAACAGAAAATCTGGACCTGGAGAACACAATGAACAAAATGAAAAAATGTAATAGATCAGCAGAAGCCTGATCAAGCAGAAGAGAGAACCTATGAAGTATTAATAGAAGATAGGTCATTTGAAATTATCCAGTTAAGGGAGAAAAAAGAATAAAAAAGAATGAAGAAAGCCTACATGACCTATGAGATACCACTAAAAAAGACAATCTGTGCAATACTGGAGCCCCATAAGTAGAGAGGGAAAAGGGGGTAGAAAGGTCATTTCAAGAAATGAAGACTGAGAGGTTCCCAAATCTGGGGAGAGATTTGGACATTCAATTTCATTCATGAACCCCCATCCCCTCCAATTTCTAAACCAAATCAATATTCTCAAGATGTAATGAAAAGACTGTCTAAAATCAAAGACAGAGAAACTCTGGGAATAGAATATATAGCATAGTGACTATATTTGACAGTATTGGATAGATGATATACATAAAAGTTGCTAAGAGAGTAGATCTTAAAAGTTCTCACCAGGACTTCCCTAGTGGTCCAGTGTTTAAGAATCCACCTGCCAATTCAGGGGATGCAGATTCGATCTCGGATCAGGAACATTTCACATGCCATGAGGCAACTAAGCCCATGCACCACAACTGCTGAAGCCCACACTCCACAGCAAGAGAAGTCACCACAATGAGAAGCCCACATATAGCAATTAGAGAGTAGTCCCCACTCGCTGCAACTAGAGAAACCCCACATGCAGCAACAAAGACCCAGCACAGGCAAAAATAAATAAATAAAAAATTTTTAACCATTAAAAAAAAGTTCTCACCAAAAAAATTATGTGAGGTGATGGGATTTGGCAATATGTAAGTGTATCAAATTGTTACATGTCAAATAAATATCAGCAAAGTTGAAAAAGAAAAGAATACCCTATTGCCAATTGACTATGGAAGAAAAAAAACTGATCTGAGGCACCTTGACTTCCTCTTGCTGTGAATCAACAAGTAAATAAAGGGATGGCTTCACTGGTTGAAGTGATGGATCCTGACCATCAGAGGGAAACTAGGCTGATACTCTAAACTGAGAGGATATAGATAAATGCAGGCAGAATCTAAAACACCTGTGATTAAAGTTAATTAAAAATCAAACAACCTAATACAGTAATGGCCCTTGTTCTTCAGGAATAATATTTAGGATCACCCACCGGGCAAGGAGATGGGAACAGCCAGGTGCTTGGTGAGGGAAAAAGCAATATGAAATGGTAGTGAGAGAAGAAAGATACAAATACCAGTTACAATCACATGATCAGGTATTAAAGGATTGCACAATAATGAAGATTTCTATATTATTTGATACAAATAAATTTGCGACTACTTTATTCAATTATTTTCCTTTTATCTCTGCCCCTGTTCCCCCACCATCTACAAAAGATTTGCTAAAGTAGTTAGTCTTATATATCATTGTTTAAGTTATAGAATGTCAAGGAGGAATGTGACTCAACTAGAACATAAATGAATATAACCTAGAGATGGATGAAATGACAGCTAAGATTTTGTAAGATTTTCAGAGAAGAGGGTTAGCAGAATTTTGCTTATATGAGAAATGGTTATTATAAGAAGAGTTAGAAGAGATATATATGGATGATAGATTTTTATCCAATCATAGTATCTTAGGTAAAATTATAGTCTATGAATTTCCTTCCCTAATAGTTATGATGGTAAAAGAAAATTCTGCATAAGATTTGGGAGGCACAAGTGAAGCAGCTGTTATTACACTCTAAAGGTCAGTGTGGGGCTCCAGGTGCCATTACAGCTCATGATGTTGCTGTTGATCTCCTGGCTCACTTTGTTGGCATGAGTTGGAAGTTGGGCCTACAGATATCCTGGCTTTTGCCCCATCTCCTTTAAATTTTTCTAGTCTTGGGCTAGGCATATGTGTTTCTCCATGGAGAAGGATACTGGTTTCTTTCACAGGTCATTCATATTCTTAGTGGTGGGAAAAGTAGGATAGACAGACAGACATAGATTACAGTTTGTCCTCAGAGGTTTTAGTTTGATTTTGTTCTCCCCAACTCTTTCAATCTAATTTTTCTTTCTGAATGCTGGCCTTGCTGACTATGGTGATTTCAGGACTTCGGGCCCACCATCAGAAGCAGAGACAAAAGTTTTCATAGACTTCACCATCTCTCACAATTGCATGAAACATAATTTTTATAATAAATGCTTTATTCCATGTCACTCACAGTGATTCTGCTTTCTTAATCAAGTCCTAACTAATACAATCACCATAAATTCTATGAAAATAAAATAAAGAAAATGCATTTTATGTTTTTGTATAATTATCATTTCAAAAAATCTAAAACTACATATACTTGTCCAAGCGTATAAAGTCAATAAAATATTTAAATATTGTCTTAGTAATAAGCCTGCATAACAAAATAATATTAAGTAAGTGGGACTGCTGATAACCAACCTAATACCTTGTGTGTGTGTGTCGTGAGGAGAGCGTGTACAAAGCCAAAAAAAAAAAAAAAGCAAGAGTATGTGGAACTTCATGCAAGATAAAATACATGCTGTTATCAGCTAAAATGTGAACAGACCAATAAAATATTAAATAAGGGAATTATATCAAAGCGAGGAGCTAGGATTCATAATTGAATGGTATAAAATTGGGGAGTGTCAGCCAAATAATTTTTAATTGGACTTCTTACTCACCTTGGAGAGACTTTACACCCTTCAGCAATCTACTGAGATGAATTTTTCCAGCAGCTATAAGAAAAGCCATAATTCATGTAATGATAAAACTAACATGAAATCACAAAACTTGTATGAACTAAATAATTTCAGAAATAACATTTTAATGATTTGTCTCTAATTTTTATGCTATTTTATCTAATACAAGGAAGTTAGAGAGTAGAGATTTTTCTCGTGACAAGCCTTTCTATCCAAATACCTGAAGGAGTCTACTCACTGAAGCATGAGCATAGCTTTCCTTCCTTTTCGGTTTCTGCTTCCTATCTTCTTCTCACTCTCTCTCTCTCTTTTTTTTTTTTTTTTTTACCACTGATCTCCTGTTTTTCTCTTTCTTTTCCCTTCTTATCATATAAGCAAATTAGTGGCTTGAGGGGGTAACAACATGACTAACTGCTAAGGTCAACCTTTGTGTGAAGGGTTACTTAATTTCCAATATAAATTCTAAACAATAATGACAAGGTTGCTGTATTACTTAGAACTCAAATTTCTTGAATTTTTTTTTCTTTTGCACTTTTAAAAGAAAATAAACAGAAATGGAGGTGGAGATTTTCACACAGACCCAAAGACACAAATATATGAGATTTCTAGAAGGCCTCTGCAACACCTCTATGATGGCTCACCATCAGTTGTCAGTGTTTCCAGCAGCTTTTCTTTTTCCTTATCTGTGAGCTCAATCCCCAGGTTTCCCAGGATACTTTTCAGGTCACTAGAATCAACCTTCTCTCCTTTAGAAAGAGGGAATGGTAGACATGAACTTTAGGTATCATGGTATTGCCTCAAAGTCATAAATATCTTCTACATAGGTTAATGATATTCCAATTTTAAGATGAAGAGTTAAGTAAAAAGAAGATATTCTTAAACATAGAATCATTGGGCATATCTTGCAGTATTTATAAAATGCCATATATAATACAAATTAATGAGAGCTGTTCCATAAATTGGAAAAGACAACTTTCAGAATAAACTCTGATCAGCAAATTAAGACAACTTAGATTTTTAAATATATAATCTATACTTCAAAAATAGTTAATTGTTATGGTGAAAATTGCTTGCTGATTTTGGTGAATACATTATCTTGATTATTTCAAAGTTTTACTGTGCCATTTTCTATATATTTCTAGATTATGCCTATTTAAATGTTAGTGAAGTAAAGCATATTTTTGGCATAAACAACAGATTCCAAATTGCAATATAGACTTGTGGAAGTGTTAGTTGCTCAGTTGTGTCTGACTCTCTGTGACCCCATGGACTGTAACCCACCAGGCTCCTCTGTCCATGGAATTCTTCAGTTAAGAATACAAGAGTAGGTAACCATTCCCTTCTCCAGATCTTCCCAGTCCAGGGATTGAACCTGGGTCTTCTGAATTGCAAGCAGATTCTTTATCATCTAAGCCACCAAGATAGCCCATAGGCTTAGAAGCATGTACATATTTCATAGTAAACATTAGAAAGAAATACCACTGAAAAACAAAATTTAATACCAAAGACTAAAATCATAGATTTACAACAATTCTAACTTACCTTTAAATTTTTTCACTTTATTCATCAATGTTTCTAGAGAAATCTTCTTATCAACTGTAGGAGAAGATCAAAGTCACACTGAGATAAAAAGGACTCATAAAATATTGTGAAACTTATGGGAAACCATAAGTTCTCATTTGTTTTGGGCCAGGCACTATCCTAAGTGTCAAATGTATATTTACTGAATAATATATTCTATGCTACTATTTTACCTAATTTTTGTCGCCTTCATGAGGACTAGAAAGAAAATCTCAACATAAAAGTCATATCAATAACATGAATTTTACTTATAGTTCCGTAATATTTCAAACCCATATATATTAGTGATGGAAAGAAATTCAGAAGTACCATTATCTAAAGAGCCTGCCTTTATATATTCCAAATGTGGAAGATTGTCTGTTAATGACTACAATATGGGGAGAGAACATAAAGACATACAAACAGAGTGCAATGTTTTCATGCTGATTTTGGTAACTGGCTGCTTACATGCTGTATCCACATTTACAGCTTCTTGATTGCTGTCAGGATAGATTACCATTCCTAAGGTTTCTTTCCCTAAGACATTTTTTGCCAACAGTGTTTATGCCTAAACTCTCCCAGTATCTAGCCATAGTACCCGAAAACTTGCTTACCATCAACAGGGAGATTCTGAGTCAGATCCTTAAGCTCCTCATCTGTAAGCCTGATTCCCATATTGTCCAGTATAGTACTCAAGCTGTTGACACTGACTTTCTTACCTAAGGAAAGAGACAGTCCCTGAAGAAAATTACATAACTCCCCAAACTTAAATCTTTTGGAGACACATGCCATGTTGTGAATTTCATGAACACTATATGTTAGTGCTCACAAAGATGGCATATAATTTCAGGGAGGTCATATATTCTTTAAAGCCTACTCACAGACTCCCCTTTGTATATGTGGGCATGCATGCTCAGTTGCTTCAGTTGTGTCTGATTCTTTGCGACCCCATGGACTATAGCCTGCATACTCCTCTGTCCATGGGATTCTCCAGGCAAAAATACTAGAGTGGGTTGCCGTGCCCTCCTCCAGGGGATCTTCCCAACCCAGGGATGGAACTCAAGTTTCTCCTGCATTGGGAGGTATATTCTTTACCAATACTGCCACCTGGGGGGCACCCTCCCCTTTCATATCTACTAGGGTTAAGAATGCTTATTTTAAAATGTGGGGGGGAAAAAAAACTCAACAATTTTGGTAAAGAGACTAAGGACTTTATGCCTATAAAGAAAATCGACTATGGAATTAGAATTAGGGTTACTACCTTGAGACTTGTCTTGGGGACGATCCCATATAATACAAAGTTTCAAATAGCATTGAATAAATGCTAAGAGAATTCTAGCTCTGGAGGCAAACATTCTTTACTTCTGAACACCATGATTTGATGATTCAGCTCTTAGTTTAGTTTTTTACTGTGGCTGATTAAAATCCCTGAATAACCATTAATCTTTTCTGCTATTTTTTCTATGCAAATGTGAAATTTAATATTTCTTTTCTTGAAAAGTTTGGGAAAATCTCCAAAAAGTGGAAGACTTTGTAGATATAAAGTAGAAGATCAGCTGCTAAACTGAAGCTAGATCTTCAATGGGAGCATAAATTTGCAATCAGTATATATGAGAGATGGAAGCCCTCACTAATTTAATATCTTGGAAACTATAATTATGAGGATCCCCTATTTGTCTTCATTCTCATTATGCTTCTCAATTGCCTTTAAGAGACTTCACAGCTTCTAGCAATCTGTTTTGAAAGACCTTGTTATCATCTGTAAGAAAAGGCAGAATTTAAGTCACAGAGAAAAGTGCATAATCACTAGAATATTCTCAGGGAAAACTGGCTTTTCAGGATTTTTAGTAAAAATTTCTATTATAAAAAAATTTTAGAGAAAAATGGGGATGTTTAGCACAACAGGCACTCTACAATGCGCACATCCCTTCTCCCCAAGCCCGCCTTTATTCACGTGTAAACTATCAACCCTTTTCTTCCATCCACAAATGCTAGATTAATCACTTTTTTTTTCTCTTGATGATGATTCATCAAAATACAGATCTTGTTTCCCATGAGTCATCATAATTAGGATGTTGCTTTCCAATCTAAAAGTAAAATTGCATGTATAGGGATTCACTTCAGGTATAAATGGACACTAAAATATTTTTTTGAGATTGACTTTCTATTTTCTGAAGCTTAGGAAACAGAAGGATTTTAGAGGATCTCACAGATAGAGGAGCTAAAAGCTCTTTTTGATTATACTGATATTTGTAATGTTTACCATCAAATGACAGAATTTTCACCAATTCCTTGTATTCTCTGTTTCTGAGCTCAATCCCCATCCAGGACAGTTTTCACATCATTGATATCAACTTTTCCTCCTTAATAAAAAATATTAAAATAACGGCACACATGGGATATAAGTACAATCAAACGATTGCAAATAATGAAACTAATTTATGATGCCAGTACAGTATGAGTATGGGCTGGGGGAGTAACAGTCACTGAGCTCTGACCAAGTACTCAGAGATAACGTTGCTCACAGAAACACAATTTGTTCTCTAAGGCTGATACAAGCGGGCACTCTTAATGGTGGCCATGAAAACGTGCCTTTAGGACTTCCAACTACAGAGAACATAATTGACCAAGGGCCCCAGCTTTGGAATTCATCCCTGTCTTTGTACTAAGGCCATGTCTCCAACAGGTTTCTCTTAACCAGTGATTGAATGCTGCACTCAGGGAGGCCTATTCCCGGGGGATAGGGAATGGCTGACTTTGGCCACAGGATTCCTTGAAGACTTTGCCAGACTTTCCTTAGATTGCATGGCAATATAGGATACTTCCACTCAACTTTTTCTTCCTTCCTCTCTTTTGGTGTCACATTTGCATTACAGTCTGAGAGCCTCTAGGCTTTTTAGGTTACCTCCCTATTTCTCTTACATAGGCTTTCCCTCTAATAATGTCCATGAATGTTTAATTCTGCCTTGGCTTTTGTTTTCTTGGGGGGCCTGTACTAACACATGCAAAAGGACAATGACAATAAATGGATATTATATCCCTCTTGTCAATTAGCAAACTGTATATGGCTTATCCTAAACAATTCTATCAATATGTACAACCTATCACCTTTCCTTTGGAAAGTTACCAGGGTCTTTTCTAAAGATCCATTTCACTTTATTATAGATTTTGGCTGTCTCAAAGTAAGAGAAATGAAGTGTATAGTGGAAAATACATAAGAAAATACTCCTGGACATAAAAACACTAAATAGAAGCTAAATGACAGAATTATCATACAGTTAATTAAGGCCTGAAGAAAATGCAATTACTATAAAAACTAGGATGCTAGGTTTATATTGACTTCTCCCTCACCTGTAACAGCTTTGACTCCATCCATCACCTTAGCCAGATCAATTTTTCCATAAGTTATAAGGAAAAGGGCCAATTGAGACATGCAATCAATGTCAAGAGCTCAGAAGAACATAGAAAGGGGATACTTACTGATGGGAAATTTCAGATAAATTCCATTGATACCAAAATCTTACCCAGACTTCTATTAAATCTCTGGATTTCAAGGGTTTCGCTGATTTCTCTATTTTTTAAATTTATTTATTTTAATTGGAGGCTTATTACTTTACAATATTGTAGTGGTTTTTGCCATACATCGACATGAATCAGCCACAGGCACACGTGTTCCCCATCCAGAACCTCCCTCCTACCTCCCTCCTCATCCCATTCCCCAGGGTCATCCCAGTGCACCAGCCCTGAGCACCCTGTCTCACGCATCGAACCTGGACTGACAATCTCTATATTTTTAAAAAGATGTATACTGGAGTTTGCACAAGGGAAAAGGTACATTTTCCAGTGTTTTTGGACCATTGATGTTGGTCAGCTGTTTGGTAAAACTTACTTCAGGTCTGCTGTCAGCTATTTGTGTCATAACTCAGACAGCAGCACTAGTGCAAACTAGGTTGTTAAATGAATGCCTCACTGGGACACGCAGTGCCTGAGAGAGTTAAAATATAAGCCTTCAAGGGGTTATAAGTTCAGGAATGATATGGACCAACTTGCATTTTATTTTTTCTTTAACTTGAATTTATAATTACTTTACTACAAATTACATTTATATTGAAACAGAGATAAAAGTGGTATCATCAGGGTTTCCCTGGTGGCTCAGTGGTAGAGAATCCACCTGCCAATACAGGAGACACAGGTTTGATCCCTGACCCAGGAAGATCCCACTTGCCACAGAACAACTAAGCCCTTGTGCCCTAACTATTGAGCCTGTGTTCTAGAGCCCAGGAGCCACAATTACTGAGCCTACATGCTGCAACTACTGAAGCCCATGTGCCCTAGAGCCTGTGCTCTGCAACAAGACAAGCCACTGCAATGAGAAGCACGCATCCCACAACTAGAGAGTAGCCCCTGCTATCAGCAACTAGAGAAAAGCCCATGCAACAGTGAAGATCCAGCACAGCCAAAAATAAAATAAATAAAATTATTTTTAAAACTGATGTCATTAATATGGCAACTAAGATAGGTTAACCCCAGCTTCAGTTCCCCTCACAAGACCAACTTGCAAATATACACAGACAAGACACTTTTGTGAAAATCCCAGAATACATTAGTGGGGCTGAAGCACCTCCCTGGACCACAGAGATCAAGAATTACTGCATTAGAAGGGTGAAAGGATTAGCTGCATTCTGACCTTGTTGCTCCTCTCCTAGGCTGGCACAGAACTATGCAGAGAGCCACCAGTGCTTATGGTTTCTCCAGCAGGAAGAAGAGAGCCCAAGGTGGAAATCTAGCTCCCCTATCATTGTGGTTTGCTTGCTGGGAGGCCCATGTGGGTCTTGTCTCACAGGTATTATAGGGAGAATCTGTGGGACTTAATCACTGGAGATCAGATTGAGCTGGAGAAGGGTAACAGGGCTTATAGCAACCAGAACTCAGATCTTGGCAGACTGTGTTTCTCCTAGCAGTGGTGCCCAAGAAAATACCCTAGCAGAGGCTTTGCCCATCTGCAGAGCCAGGCTGGTTGGACCCTCTGGATAGGGAACTCAGTGTACAATTCTACCAAGCTATTCTGCCATTCTATTCAGGCAGGGAAGCTAATTATTAATAGAAGTCCTAACTACTGTTGATATAGCCCCCAGCTTTCCCCAACCAAGAAGCCTAACTAGAGCACCCAGGAAGCTGAGTCCCCATCCTATGTTCCCATTCATAGTAGCACTTGAGCAGAGAACCCAGCCAGTGTCTCTACCCATCTTCAGAGCCCAGTTAGTAGCGCCATCTAACCAGGGAGCTCAGGGCAAATTCTGTATGTTTGTGTCCCTAGTCAATAAGCCATGCGGACCCTGGAGTCTACTGCAAACTTACCCAGTCAGGGAGGCAAATTCATGGCCCCCACCTACTGTTGAGTATATCCCTCAGTCCTGCCAAACCAAGAAGCCTACTGAGAGCTTCTGGGAGGCTGTAGACCACCCTACAGCCCTGCCTGCAGCCACGCAGAAAGCCCAACAGTGGCTCTGCCTCCTGCAGAGCTGAACTGGTGACACTGGCCAGGAAGATTGATGAGCAGTCCTACCTGATTTGAGCACCCAGTCAATGAGTTGTACCAGTGATGGAACCTGCCTACAGCCCCAGACTCAGGATGGGAAGCAAATTCAAAGTCCTGACTAGGGCTGTATATAGCTTCCGGACCCATCTGACCAGGAAGCATAATAAGAACACCAAGGAA